AGTGAGGCTGGGTGCGCTGTCGGGGCTGGGTCCGAGCGGTTCGGTCGCGCTGTCGGTGCCGGGTTGTGTGCTGTACACACGGAGCGGTTCGGCTCCTCATCTCACCCATGAGGCGTTGCAGGAGATCCGTGGGGTTCCTGCTGTGGCCCAGCTCAGCCTGCCCGCGCTGTGAGTACCGTGGGTTTCTCCCCCTGTGCTGGGGTTGGGGTGTTCCCTTGTGTGTGGGTTTTCCATCTAAGGGAGAGGTGAAGGTAAGGCAGCTCAAAGTAGGCTCAAAGCAAGGATCGAATAGTTAAAGCTGAAAGCGTAAAGAATAACTTTGCTAGTAGCACTGTTTCAGCTTAATTAGCAAAATAACAAGGATTACATAGTACAGGCAAGGAGCTTCGCTAATGGTGTTGTTTTGGCTCGGTGGGGGAAACGATGCTCCTTATCTATAAGGCAGTAGAACTAACTTGACCCCAACCTTGGCAGCAGGAGGTAAACTAAGATCACATAAGGTGTGGAATGGAGAAACAAAATGTTCAAGATAGAGGCAAGGTCAGCAAGGAATGCTAAACTATACAAAGGTGTAAACAATTGCATGATAAGAGTGTCCAAAGGGTACTGAGGAGGAGGAGACAATTCATCTTCACGACCACCGAACGACCACCAGGACCTTGGGACTGATGCCGGGAGGGAGGAGAGGGAGGAGTGTATCATAATGATTTCTGAGAAGTAATTATAATAATAACCCCCCATTCCTGGAAATACTGAATATGTATGAGCATTTAATGTATAAAAACCGTGAAGTTTTTGTCTCTGGTGGCACAAGTTTGGTGGAGCGATCCCCCTTGTGCCCAGCGCTGAGTAAACAAATACCTGCTACTCAGAGATACAAGTCTGGGGGTAGTTCTTACCTGCTGCTCAGAGATACAAGTCTGGGGGTAGTTCTTTTCCAGCCTTTTCTCGGCATCACCGCTGAAGGGCTGTGGAATTGCAGTGTGTTTAGGCTAATTGCACTGACCTCATCTTCCCACCTTGGCCAGCAGGGCAAGGGGTGGGTGATCCTCAGGGTAGGTGGTCCTCGCTCGCTGCTCTGGTGGGACCCACCTGCAGTGGCGTGTCCAGCTCGGGGGTCCTCAGTGTAGGAAGGACGTGGACCTGTGGGAGCAAGTCCAGAGGAAAGCCATGAAGATGATCAGAGGGATGGAGCCTCTCTGATGGGGACAGGCTGAGAGAGTTGGGCTTGTTGAAGAGAAGGCTGCAGGGAGAGCTTATAGCAGCCTTGTGGTATCTAAAGGGCACAGACGAGAAGTGGGGACAGACTTTTTAGCAGGGCCTGTTGCAATAGCACAAGGGGTTAACAAATGTAGGCTATAAGAGGGTAAACTAGATGCAAGAAAGAAATCTTTTACAGTGAAAACAGATGAAACCCTAAAACAGGTTGCCCAGAGAGTTGGTAGATGCCACATCCCTGGAAACATTTAAGGTAAGATTGGACTAGCAGTTAACTCTCAAAGCTAGTTCAGTAAGTGGCAACTGAAAGGAAAGGTTAACATAAAGCTTGTTAGAAGCTCAGCCCTCCCTATCTTGTGCCACTGTAATGCACATCGGTGATGATACTCAAAAAGTCAGAGCGTGCCTTTATGCTCTCCAGCAAGTCAGGGTCACTGGTCAGGGCAGGTAAAACCTCTGCCTTTTTGCCACAGAAATGTGAGTACCCTGAGTTATGAGCTTTGATTTTTGAGCCCCTTGTCTCTGGAATTTAGTTCCATCTGTCCCTGCTTTGCTGCCTGATAGCAGGATGGCAAATATCAGTTCAGTTTCAGACAATGCATGAATATGTCAACAGAAGCCTTTGTTATGAAACCACCAATCTTTTTTCTCTGCTTAGTTAATGTGTTTCTGTATCTGGATTGCAGGGCAGAAATCCATGATGTCCTGGAAGAGTATAAAGAAGGAGCTGCAAAATTTATAGGTAAAGTGCATGTGTTTTACTTGTATGTCTGTAGAGATAATGCAGGTGGATCCCACTAGTGCATGTTTAGGCAGTACATTAGGCAGAAAGATTAAGTATAGGCTTACCACATTTAGGCATTTTCTCACTCAAAGTGGCACTAAGGAAGACTTGAAATAGTATGTTGTTACTAGTATGGCCAAAAATCTTTCAATCAGGCTACAAAAATACGTAGTTTTGCTTTTTTTCTCTATTTCTGCACCCAGCCTTCTCCTTGTAGGTTTCATCATTGACTAGAGTGGGCTTAGCCCAAGAGTTGAGACTAGGGCTGAGAGAGGTTTTAATGTAGCCCACAGTCACTGCTGCAAGTGATTCTTGCCAAGTGTCATTTCTGACTTTTGATGAGGTGAATTAGAAATTTTCATTAAAAGGGCCTTCCCCATACAGCTGTTCCAACACATTTCCTGAGAGTGTCCATCTGCTCAAGCTGGCTTTTTTTATTCCTTTCCTTAAAAGTGTTGGTTTCATTTGAAGATTTCCAACAGGAAGTCTTTATGCAGCATGAAGAACAAACAGGGAAAGCACTCCACATCAAATCAGTCCCAGCTGGTGAACACTTCTGCCTCTGTGTTATTCCTGTTCTGGGAAGATGTTAGGGGAAGGACCCACATTGGATTCATAGAGCTCTGAGGAACTAAAGCAGCAGGTGGAGAAGCTCATTTTCCCCCTGTTCTTTATTCCTGTCAGTTTAGCATTTGGACTGTACTTGTTCCCTGTTCCCGTTTTTCCATGTTAAAGAGTCAGTTTTCAGAATAAACTGGGTTTAACTTATGGATAGTCATATGAAAAATAATCAGTGTTGCCACATCCCCCAGCTACTGCACCAAGCTTTTGTGAAGTCCATCAGTCCCTGTACTCCACTCTTGGAGCAATTCCCGTATGGAATCTTTATCTTAATACCTTGGTGATAAGAATGAGTAAAGCAGCAGTTCCTGCATTTCTGACTATCCTGGGTTTTCCCTCTGGTTGTCATAACACATCAGTAAAGGCCTCGCCACGAGCACTGTGCAGCCAAGATCACTGTTGTCAGGAACTCCCGTGGCAAAGGAACCTGAATGCACAGTGAATGCAGGGTTGCCCTCTTGTGTGAATATCTGTATTACAGCCTGTATTTTTGTCTGGGGAGGCAGCTCAGAGAACTGGAGGGTGATCTGCCAAATCAGCAAGTTTCTCTGGGATGCTTTTTCTGGGTATCAGGCTACATTGGGTATGGGGTAAATCCTGTCAAAGTGATGACATGTCTGTAATTTCTGTAATTCACAGACAGTTCTTTGTGTGGGGAGTCTAGCAGACTTTGCAAGGAAAAATTTTGAGTTCCTAATGCTTGTATTTTATTTTTTCTTTTAATTTTTAAGAAGCACATAAAAATTTGGGGCATGCATTTCATTATATAAAGTTATGGTTTGGCTTTTTGCACTCAGTACACTTTTACTGCTTTGGGGCAACTTATTCCTTCAAGGAAAATCAAAAAAATCTCTTTATCTGAAAATTCTTGGACGCTTTACCAATTTCAGTGACTCTCTGTGAAAAGAAGATTGTATGTCATTGAGACATACTGTCTAGCTTTCTGACATTTGAACCTCCAGCCTGGCAGGGATGATAAATTTCTTATTTATGTAGCAGGTATGTTCTCTCACTATTCTGTTCTTTTATGTGAGGGTGGTGAGGCACTGGAAGAAGTTGCCCAAAGAAGTTGTGGATGCCCCATCCCTGGAAGTGTTCAAGGTCAGGCTAGATGGGGTTTTGAACAGCCTGGTCCAGTGTAAGGTGTCCCTGCCCATGGCACATGATCTTTAAGGTCCTTTCCAACCCAGTCCATTCTATGGTTCTGTATTTTGTCAGTCCTTAAAAGTTCTATGCTTGGGATTGTTGCTCAGTTTAGACTGTGTCAAATTTCAGATATCTCCAGTGTATCAGTTGAGTGGTCAAGTGAGTCAGCTGTTGGGTCTGGAAGATTTTAGTAGGTGAAGTATTAATCAAAAAAACCCATAAATGAATCTCAAAGGAGCTATGTAAGCTGCAGAACCAAAGGGTGTTATTTGATGATTTGTCCTGATGCTGCACTCTGCTCCCTGCAGCTAGTAAAATTGAGAAAAAAGTCTGCTGCCTGTGGTGCTGGGAGATCAAATGAACAATATTTGTCAGAATGGATGCACTTGTGTGTGGGATAATACCCTGTTCTCTTTTGCAGATTTACAAGCCACATCTTTGCATTAGCTATGCTTTTGTTCATGAAACTCTACTCTGTGTCTGTCTCCCTGTTCCCAGGTATGCCAGATGCTGTGCTGTACTGCTCCCTTCATGACCCAGTCACTCCCTGTCCATCTGGCTACAACACTAACAAGGTACAGTAGCGATAAAAACTTGAATGGGTTCACTTAAAGTTCCTAAAAGGAAGCTGCCAGTCCTCCCTTCATCTGTGTGGGTATGATCAGACAGCCACAAGATGAGAAAAATAAACCTTTGCACAAAGAGAAATGTCATTTATGTGCCCATACCTCCAAGTAAATAAAGCTGTACATCTTCTTACTTGGCAGCATGTTCCCTGAATAGTTCCTGAGCAGTTAAGTGGCAGTTCAGATAAAAAGGAGAGCTCTGACTTCATGATACCATGTGTTGATGTGATAGTAAAAGAAAATACCTGTGTTTTAGCATATATGATGTACAGGTTTACAGTGATGCCACTGATAATCTGAACCCCTGTGTGTGTGTTTACAGTTTGCTACAGGCCCACAGAGGGGAAGAACTTAGAATTTCTGCAGGAGGGTGGCCCAGCAGTCCAGGAGTGCACAGTGTTTCAGACATTTGCCTGTTCCATCCCACAACCACACACATTCCCGGTGCAATCCACACAATACCTGTTGTCTGTCACAGCTTTGTCCTGCAGAGGCCACTCCTAGCACCTGCTCAGATACAGTCAGTCCCAAGGCCTGTGTGGCTATGGTTGCATTTGGTGAAAGGTCACTGAATGACAGAGGATAACTACTGCAAACCATCTATCAGTGTATATTATTTGCTGCTGGGATCCAGGCTGAGTCCTGCCTCTTTGCAGGGAAGGAATTACTGCAAGCTTGTCCCACTGTTGTGCAGCTATGAGGTGATAGCAGCAATCAAAATGTGAGTGTTGCAGGTTTGAATCAGCTTATTTTCTTTTTTTTTTTTTTAATAAGCTGGTGAAGATATTTGTCACCTTGCTGCAAGGCCTTCTGCAGCTGGATCTGTGCTGACAAATGCTTATGAAAGCTTTTTGAAAGCAATGGGACAGAAAGCTCTGGATTCTATGCCAGGGCTGGATTTAAATAATCATGGGATAATGCTCGGTTCTCTAAGCTGCATGGCTGTTTTATTTATTAAAGCAGCTCTTTTTTTCTCCTGAAAGCAGAATGAAGGCAACTAGATGTGATTAAACTCTGCCCTTTGGCTCAGACAGTTCTGACTTTCCTTTGCCTGCCTTCACCAGCTGTTCCTTGATGCTCTCACAATAAGATGCAGCAGGTACTAACTGATCAACTGATGCTGCTGGAGAACAACATGCAGCTGCTGTGTTCCAGTTATTCTGCAGGTACTAATTTTGGATCTCCTCCTTTTGGAGTTGCCTTTTTTTTTTTAGTGGGAAATTTACAAAAATATTATTGTTTTGGACACTTCTGCCTTTGTTACTCAAATTTAGTGACATTGGCTCATGAGGCCAGAAGTAATCAGTAGAGATGAATGGACAGACAATAGACACGTGGTGTACCTGTGAAATCCTTTTTTGTTTTTGTGGAGACCAGCTAAAAAAATTGTTCTGCTCATTTTTATTTTTTTTTATCAGCTGATTCAATTCAATTTGCAAATTAGTATGCATGAGAACTGCACTGCTTAATCTGTCTGTCTGGCATAGGCTAGGAGAATGTATTTAAACCCTCAGGCCTCAAAAAGTCCCCATAACACTCCAAGCTATAAGCTATTTCTGATAGCTGAAAACCCTTCCTCATTTAAAAATGCTCTTAACAGAATTGCAGATGAAAAGAGCTGACTTCTAAAGGTCTCAAGCCCAATACTTAACCTACTTGAATACCCCTTTAAAATTTTGGAGCATCAGTGTCACTATGTCTGACAGTAATACAAAAAAAGCAACAGCCAAGCTGCACTCACAGGTTAATTACAGAGTCTGCAAAATAGGCTGAAACGTGCCAGTATGTGTAGTTGCAGTAACATTTTTGTGAATCTGAATGTTTAGTGAATTGAACTGTGGCATGTGCTAGCCCAGTGATGTTCAGGATATATAATATCTCTGTGCAGGTGCTTTTGTCTTGCTTTAAAATCTATTGAGGGTAGCATGGAGTAGGGGTGGAAGATGGAGTCCCATGTGCACACGGAGAATGGAAAGCATGTGAAGAGACTGAGAAGACTGTATGTGAGGCCCTGATGAGCACCTGTCATTTCTTACTTTGGCCTGGTTTGAAAGCTGTGTATTGCTTTTGTGCTTGGTATTTCAATCCCTTCTTAAAGTGTCTGGATTTGGGACCTAAAATAACATGGAGTTCTAAGACTGAGTTGCTTAACAACCTTTTGTGTTCTTCCCAGGGTGTCTGTATGGTTTATATATACATGTATATTCACATGTGTGGTTTGAATTAACTGCTTGGAAGAGGAAATAGTTTCTTGGGTTTGCATTATGTACAGAAAACTAGTGAGCTGTATATGCCATTGCAGCCTTTGCTGTTTTTTGGAGATGACAACCTAAGTCTGGTGGGAATTCAATCTTAATTTTTTCCCAATTCTGCCATTAAGTTGTGTGATGATAGGCCAGCTACTCTTTCTCAGAGGCTTTCAGACATGTAGAGAAGTCACTGCTGTGTGTGATGGTTTCACCAAAAAGTGTATCCCAGAAACCCCAGTTCAGTCATTTATCTCCTGTCACTTGTGCCAAGTGCAGCTGATTATCCACTCCAGGCAAACTTACCTAAGAGGTATTATTCCAGTATCTGATATTTCACCAAGCAAATTACTTCTCTCCTTTGACCCTTAAGATCTTCTGATCTTTGCCACTAACATTCATCCCTATTCTTCCTTGACAGACAGTCTCCCTGTGGGGAAGCTCGGGACGCATGGAAATGACAGCTTCCAAGTTCATGGATATACAGCGGGCCATCCAGCCAGACTGGTTCCAGTGCATCTCTGATGGAGACACCATTTCTGGGGAAGTTGGTAGAAAAAGAGCCAAGAAGTCTGTGGATAGGTCGCTTTCCTTCCTGGATGCATGCCTTCAGCTGCAAGAAAAGTCACCAGTAAGGCCCCCAACATATTGAGGAAACACCACTGCGGCTGCTTTTTGGTCGGTTCTGCATCCTGGGCCAGTCCCAGGATGTGATTTAGTAGGAAATCATGTCATGTGTGTGTATCAGAGAATACCCAGGTGACAGTCCTAGATGAGGTATAACCAGTAGCACAGTGAGTTTTCCTTCCTTCGATAAATTGTTTCCTGCACCAGGAGGAGGACTTAGCTCGTTGAGGACAACTAATTATTAATTTATTTTTTTTTATTTTTGGACTGTGGTGCATTTAATTGACTTACCTTAATGCTAAATGCATGGGCAAAGTAGGGTTTTCTCATACAGGCTGAGAAGATCCATCTTTTTGCTCTGAAGTCTCCCCAGTTCCAAGTGAGGGAGGACTTGATGGAAGTAGTCAGTTCTATTTATTTCTTCTAGCAGCTTTGAAATTTCCCTCCCTTTTGGTGTAAGGAGACACACTGAGTCTGCACTACAAAGGTAAATGGGTGACAGGAGCTGATACTTGTATCTTGATGGTGAGATCTGGTGTCTGACAGGCAGGATAGTGGCACCTACTTTGTATTCTGACCTGGTGCATGTGTTGCTGAGGGTCATCCATGAAAAGCCATGTATAAAGTTGATGTGTGGTTATTGCCTTCTTTAGGGAGGTGGGAAGAATGGCATAAAAATTCTCAGTGAGTTAGTGTCAAGGTAAGGAGCAGAATCTTGTCTCTCGTAATCCCATTTCTGCCTTACATGGAGACTTCACAATGTTGTGTGGGGAGTAGTCTTACATGGGAAGGAACACTGTGGTTCTGGCAAGTTCCTGGGAATGTGGTGCTTAAGTAGCAGACATCTGAAGTCTGAGTGGTGAGATGTCTTGTATGTCTTTGTCAGAGTACACTTTTTCTCCTGGGACAGGAACTACAAGGAAGTGTAATGTTTGGGGCAATTGAAGGCGGAGATGTCTTGGAAGAGAGGCTCAGATCAGCCAGGGAGACTGCCAAGCGGCCTGTGGGTGGCTTTCTGCTAGATGGCTTCCAGGGATGTGCCATGGCCAAAGAGACCAAGTTGAAACTGATAGCTTCTGTCACAGCAGAGCTGCCAGAGGATAAACCAAGGTAAGTTGTTTGGGCAACATCCCAAGAAATCCATCTGTCCTATTAGGAGGAACATCTACAAGCTGCTGTGCAGTATCCCTGTAGGAAATAATCGCTGTATTGCACAGCTCTATATGTGCCAGGCTGCATAAATTTTACCACTGTCAGGCTGCAGTCTTCAACCCCTGTTTCAGTGCTCACGCTGTGGGTTTGAGTATTCTCCACGTTCATCGTCTTTGCATTTTGAGGAAAAGTTACAGGTAGGATATGTCAGGGCCTCTGAGACCATGGTTTACTTAAAGTTCAGTTCAAACAAGAATGTTGTTATAATCTATTTTGAAGGAACCTCTTCTCAGAAAAGTTGTCAGGTTTTCAGTTTTCTCTGGTCTGAACTGGAGGACAGCAGAGAGGGATGCTGACAGAAACAGCCAGTGCTTACATGATCTTACTGCAGCCATCTCTGACCTAGTACCTGAGGCACTGAGCCCGTGGGCTACCTGAGGTGGTATGGCCTGGCCATAAACAATGGTATTCTCTTCATGGACAATGTGGGGCTTATTGGGTACCTGAGTTGTTAGTTTTGCCCACCAGATCCATGCCAGAGACTGGACAGGGGTGGCAGCTTTCTTTATTATTATAAATGACCAATGATAACTAGAGACTTTCCAAAAATAGGTGCTAATATTTGCTAGTGGTTCAGAAGTGGAGGGGTTTCTTAGCATTGGGTTGAGCTTGCTGACTTTTGCATGAGTTGCTCTTACAAGAACAGCTGCAACAGAAATGAGTGCCTTTTTTCACCATTTCCTAAAGAGAGTGACTGAGGCCCCATCGTCGTTCTGTTTCCCTCTGCTAGCTGAGCATTGCTCTGACCTAATGATGTTCAAAAGGAAATTAAATGCAAAAGCATGGGTCTGGTGTTGCGGCTTGGACATGCTTAGTGGTGCCTGGAGTTTGAATTTTCCTGACAATTAGAAGGCTTGCTGTGTTGTTGCCATCCTGTCTGGTTGAGCTACTTAAAAGATCTCCTGGGAGCATTAGAGTCCAATCTGCTCAGCTGACCTTAGTGGCTACCAGTGTATCTGCCTCATCGATCAAATAGTTTGCTTGTCTGGTTAAGACAAGTGTTTCTGACCTCTTTGTAGGAAGAAAGCTGGTTAGCCCCAGGGATTCTTGTAAGTACCTCAAGTGAATTTCAGACAATCCTTGTTCCTGAATCACCCTTGCCATTCTGGCTGGAGAAGTTGCTTTGCTGCTATGTTCTACCCCAATATGAAATTCTCTAGAAGACAAACACTTCCTGTGCTTAACTCAAGAAGTGACTGCTTTTTGTGTGATGGTGAAATGATTTTATAAGTGAACCATGTAGAGTCTTTTCATGTACCTAAAGGTGCTGAAGTCTCTTGGTAAAATTTGTTTTCCTTTCCAATACCATCAGAACCCTTGCAAGAACAAATGTTTGTCCTTACCTGTGCAAAGATAGTTTCAGCAAGGGCTTTGATCATATATGCAGAGCTACTGTTTTAACTTTTGGGCATCATTTTCTCCCTGCCATGGGAGCCTGAAACACTCATGCTGTAAAGTTCTCTCATCCTTATTCTGTGCTCATCAATTTAATTGGAGTACTTAGAAAAGTGACTAAAAATGGTACCTTGTGACTTCATTTATTAGCCCTTGTGTATTTGCCTAATTATCTGTTTAGGTCATTGCCCTAGATTAACTTCTACTGCTGTCAGCCCAGCCATGCACCTGCAGGAGAGCAGCCACTGCTCTACTCTCTCCTGTTTCACCCACCCTCAGCAAAGCTGCCAGCTAAATTTGGCTGACAGCAGGATCTCTATTACCATTGATGGCAATCCAGCCTGGCTCTTCCTGGCTCTGAATGCCATGTCTCAGGAGATGTTACCGCCCAGGTTTTCGGGTAAATCATTTGAGCAGGGAGAATGTAAAGAGGAGGAAAGACTAAAGGAAGGAAGTTTTCTCTTTTTCATGGCATTTCTTATTATTGCATTCTCCTCCAGGCAGTTTTTCAAGTGCAATATGATTGTCTGTCACCTGAAAGACTTGTATCTTTGACCAGACATCTACTGCTGTCTCTGCTGCTCTTGATCAAGTCTTTTTAGACTGTCTTCTAAACTGCTACCAAGCAAAAGGGTCCATGTGTCCGGAAATTGGTAGTTCCCTGGGGCACAACCATGAGTAAGGAAAATATCTGTTCTATGGCACAGATGTTTTGAATCTAAGTGTATTTATGTGTGTGTGAAAGAAACCAAATCACTTCAAACATAATGAACAGAATGAGGTTTTTCCGCAGTAAATGAGGCATTAATGCTGTCTTCCAAATGGCAGATAATGAAAAGGCTGCTGTGTACTGGATAAGTTGGAGGTGGGGAAAGGGAAGCACACAGGATTCTGAGTGATGACTTGTGCCCACTTGCCTTCTGGTTAACAGCTGCAGAGATAAGCAACATGTGCTGCGTGTGACCTGAGGGTCTTTTCCTCCAGGTACCTGCTTGTTTCTTCTCAGAATATTGAGGATTCATCTTCTTGTCTGTCTCTTACAGAATCATTCATGGTGTAGGCAAACCAGATGAGGTGCTTGAGTGCATTGAAAGGGGAGTGGACATTTTTGAGAGCTTCTTTCCCTTCCAAGTGACGGAGCGAGGCTGTGCCTTGGTTTTCAGTTATGACTGTCATCCAGATCCTGAAGCAGCAGGTAGGCTTCTTGATGGTCATTACAATTTTTACATTGCAAGGTCTTACATTACAAGGTCCTACACCACCTGAGCCAAGGCACAATCTATAGGCTGGGCAGAGAAGTGATTGAGTGCAGCCCTGCAGAGGACTTGGGTGTGATGGTTGATGAAAAGCTCAACATGATCCAGCAATGTGCACTTGCAGCACAAAAAGCCAACCAAATCCTGGGCTGCGTCAGAAGGAGTGTGGCCAGCAGGTCGAAGAGTTGATTCTTCCCCTCTCCTCTGCTCTTTTGAGACCCCACTGAAATACTGCATACAGTTCTGGTGTCCTCAACATAAGAAAGATGGAAAACCATTGGAGCAAGTCCAGAGAAGGTCACAAAGTGATAAGAGGACTAGAGCACCTTCCCTATGAAGACAGGCTGAGAAGGTTAGGGTTGTTCAGCCTGGAGACGTGAAGGTTGAGTGGAGATCACATAGCAGCCTTCCAGTATCTGAAGGGCCTACAGAGAAGCTGGAGAGGGATTCTTTGTTAGGAACTGTAGTGATAGGGCAAGGAGTAATGGGCATAATTGAAAGGGGAAATGTAGGTTAGATGTTAGAAAGAAGGATGGCGAGATGCTGAAACAGGTTTTCCAGAGAAGTTGTGGATGCCCCAACCCTGGCAGTGTTCAAGGCCAGGTTGGGTAAGGCCTTGAGCAACCTGGTCTAGTGGAAGATGTCCCTACCCATGGCAGGGGGGGTTGGGACTAGATGATATCTAAGGTCCATTCCAGTCCCTTAATATTCTATGATTCTAAGATTTTACATTGTGGCAAGCCTAGTTCGTGCACTGAAGGAGTCTGTATTTGACTTTTTTGCTCCTGAAACCAGTGCCATAACCACTGGAGAAACACTGTCAAGTGTTGCTTTTGAAGGTGGGATATTTTGGTGTGGAACCTGTTGAGTAAAACTTGAGGCCTCTGAATGTCTGATTAGCCAAAATGTGATCAAATATTTCTTAAACACCTACTGAATAGAGAGTTCTAGTTTGGCACCATTGTCAAATTTTCTGTTACCATTAGCAGTGAAGGCAGGACCCATTAAGTAGAGGTCTAAGATACTTGATCTCCAGAATTAACAGAATATGTGTCTGTTGTAATAATATATTTTTGAAGGTCTTTCTTTCTAGTTGTCAAAAGGTTCGCATTTCTTTGAGCAGCTTTCCTCTCTGTCATTGCATTCATCAGTTCATATCAAGACAAAAATGAGATGTTCATAACTCATTACACTGTGAGATGGGAACATGTGTATCACCCATTAAGGCATCTATCAAATGTGTTTCAAGCAGCTGTTTTGTTTTGGCCTATTACATGTTTTTAATACAGGAAAGCATTTTACATTTTTTCTCCTGAAACCTAGTTGCTTTTCATGCCTGGATAATTCAAACCTAGCTGAATTGAACAGAACATCTTGTTTCTTTGTGCTTGCTGCTATTTTTTTATCCTTTCACTTTGTTTGTTGTTCTTTATCTTGTCTCGCCTTATTCTTAAATCATCAGATTCTGGGTAAGGACAGCGTGTTTGTTCTCTGTCTGTTTTAAACTTGGTAGACATGGATTGTGCAAACAGTTATATTGATATTTCCAGATACATCTCATTCTTTGGAATAAACTTGAAAATACAAACCTACAAAATTATGGGATGATTTTTTATTTTAAAGGTAGAAGCTAAAAAGGGGAATCCACATTTTGTGAATTAGTGCCAGCAGCCTCTTTGGATTCCAGTTGTTTGGGGAAAAAAAAAAATTAATCTAAATGCCTGAGTCTGATGACAGCATGGGAAGTAGAGTGAGTGAATGCAGATGAGTTGCCTGTCTACTCTAACAAAATCTCAATAGAATCAATCTGCTCAGGTGATTGCATTCTGTTCAGCACACAGTTCGTACTGGAAATACCTTTGACATTTTTTTAAGAAATCAGCTCATTAGAGCAGCAAAGAGTTGTACTGTTGTTACAGCTCTAACTTTTCATTAGTTTTAGTAGATTAATTTTCATGTGTCTCTTGCTGCTTTAATCATCTAAAAGTGTATTTGTGTTAACTAACTGATGGCAATGAAAGAAAATTAGCTGCTTACCAGTGGCAGGAGTTTTCCTCTGGGAAGAGAGTAGTAGAAATACCTGCTGTAAGGTTGCTACCCTTCCTCTGCTCTCTGTTCATAAAAGGCTGTTATCTTTTTATGTTAAGCCATTTTAGCACAAAATGGGGCCCAAGACCTGGAGAAGAATGGTGCTCAAGAAGACCAGGATGAAATCTCTAAAGCTGACCCAGAAATGACACCATTTGAGATATTTCTGAAGGACAAAAGGTACATGAATTTGTGAGGAGAGTACCTGCAGCTGTATCACTAAATACGATGCTTTTGTCCTCTGTATTTGATTGCCTATGATCAGCAGCTGGATGGGAGACTTCATAAAACATGAATGTGTTGAAGATAGTACGTCTGGACATTTAGTGGAGGGTGTTGGACAAGCATTCTAGCTTGTTATCAGGCGACAGTATAAGTCTGAAAGTCCTGTCTTTTGCCTGACCTAAAGACAGGGATTTTCTGATCATGTATCCACCAGACATACTGTGGTCATAACCATATCCCAGCTGAAAGACTGTAGGTTGACAAAGGTTGCCTGAGGATCATTTTGGTCCTCCACATCTGACTTGGGTCATCCTGAGATAATAGATTTTATTTAAACTATGGACACCCTCCACTTTCTGACTCAGTTTGGGCAGCTGCAGAGCAATTCTGCCATTTCTGGGTGCTTCACAAAAACTTTGGCCATTGTTACCACCTGTCCTTCCTTCTTTGTGCCACAGGTGTTTCTAGGCTGTCTGAGCAGACAACTGTGCTGCTTTGTTCAATCCTGTCTTCACATTGTGAGAATGGTGCATCTCAGAACAGAGGGGAATGATGTTATGTGGATGGTGGAGTCAGTGAATCCAGGTTTCTAGTAGCTTCCTCCTTCACAGGCTGTGTGATAGGTAGAAAGGGTGTCTTGCACTGCAGCTTTTCTGTCAGGGAAGGCACAGATAAGGCCTCTCTGCTATTAGCTGTGATACAGTCAGTTATGCTCTGACTTAGATGTGCAGCCTTTTGGCTCTGTAGTGGGTTCTAGCATGATGAGGCTTGCAGCTTTGGGCAACTTTGTCTAGTGGAAGGTGTCCCTGCCCATTGGCAGGGAGTTGGAAGGAGATATCTTTAAGGTCCCTTCCAACCAAACCCACTCCATGATATTTGAAGTCCTTTGTGCCAGTGGTGCTGGTCTTAGTTGTCAACAAATCTTACAGCAGCGGAATTCAAGACCTCAGGGCTTCAAGGCAAAAGACCAGGTAGTAACTGGATACTCTTTATCACTTGAATGAATCTTCTAACCTTTGATGTTATCCAACATTGTTTCTTCCTTAGATACCAAGATGATTTTGGTCCTTTGCTGGAAGGATGCACCTGTTACTGTTGTCAGAGGCATACTCGTGCCTACCTCCATCACCTCCTTGTGACCAATGAGCTGTTGGCTGGTGTTCTGCTCATGATGCACAACTTCCAGCACTACTTCAGTTTCTTCAGTGCCATACGGGATGCCTTAAGAGACAATAAACTGGATCAACTGAAAGAGCTTGTCTTCAGGCAGGCACTTCAAGGCCTAGAAAATGCAAAGCTTGGCCAGTGAGTTCAGAGAGGATAGAGGAGGTTGGAGGCTGTGTCCTTGTCCACAGGAGCTGTGTGAGGTGGACAGCCATCAGAGTCATCTGGACCTGTCAGTAGTAAAATGTCCTCCTTCCTGGAGGGAACTGAAGGAGACATTTGAAGAAGATCTCACTTTCTGGTAAGGAAGGAAGATCTTGTTCAAATGCCTCCTTTGGTTAATTGGCTTGGAACATTCTTAGTGTATGGAAGAGCCTGGACAGCTCACAAGACCAGTGTGCGTTGCTTTGTTTGCACATACTCACTGTTGGTTTTCCATGTGGAAGGACAGAGTTACCGAACTTGTGACTGAAGAAGAAGCAGAACATAAAATTAATCCAGCTGCCTGCATTGGGGCTGTTTGGGGCTCTTGTTCTCTACCCAACTGTAATTATTTTTCTAGAAAAGCCTAGTGGTGTGATCCCACCTCAGTCTAACACTGTCCTTGTGGCCATGCCAGCATTTGTGTCCTTAAAAAGAACTGACTGGAAGTGCTGCTGTGTTCAGTGGCACAAGGGACTGTATGTGGACTCCTCTCTCAGACTGCCTGCAGTGCAAAATGTTCTCTGGGCCTGATGGAGGCTGTGCACCTTGTCTTGGCCTTGAAAATCCCTGCCTCAGTAGTCCCAGTCAGCTGCATTAGAGCCAGAAAGAAGAGATGTTTAATCTGTGTCCTGTTTTAGAGGGTTTTTTACTCCATACCCTTTTTTCCAGATTCCACTCCCATGTTATCATGTGGATGATAATGAATGTACCATTCTTTCCAGCTGCCCCAGCACTGGTCACATAGCAGGCTGCACAAATGTCAGTGTGAGATGGAGCTGTGGAAGAGATCTATCACAGGAAAAGACATTTTAGAAAACATCCTTGTGGCTCTTTGTTCTAAAATATGACTTGGTTATGTCACATTCCTCTTACTCGTTGTTTTGTTTTTACTTTGGAATCATGGATTTATTCATTTTATGTTACAAAGTGACAATAAAAAAACATATTATCTGTTACACTGACTCCTCAATGTGTGTCAGAGGTGGTATACCAGAGGGCTCAAGCTCAAGAAGATGTCTCCTGGAAACTTGACCTAGCAGCCTGATAGAGGACAGAGACTTACGTAGGAGTGGGATCCTGTTACAGAGAAGGGTTCCAAATAATTTGCTTCAAAATAATGTAATAGACCTGGAAGTGTTAGAGACACCTGCCCACCCCCTTTCCCAGTAAGAACTGTAGTACCATACCATAAGAACTCTAAGCTTAAGAAAATACTACAGTTACACTTGCTGACCTTAAAGCAATTAAGGATTAATCTGTCATTTGCTCTTCACTATTTCTTTAATGTTTTAGGATTTTAATATCTCCCGTCAGAATGACTTTACTGTAAAGTTTATGGAGTTTTTAGCTTCCCTGTCACCCTTGCCTGTGCATCCCTGTCTCTTCGGGAAGCTGCACAGTGGTTTCAGAATCCTTTCTGCCATTCCAGCCTTATTTGCTGTGTTGCACTAACTGCACTTGTTGCACTAACTACACTTCTGTTCCACAGGATCCTAAAGAGATGGTGTAAATGTTGCTCTACTCTACTGTTGTCTTCAAACAGAGATTAGAATGATTTAGCCACAGAAACAACATAGAACACTGGATTATCATCTTCACTCCAAGAAGTGCCTTGTGGTTGTTAAAGTTGATGCAGCACTGGGAAACTTGGAGATGGTGTCCTGGATATACAGTGTGAGGTGGAAGGTCCACCTAAGTTAAAGAGCAGGGAATTCTAATGAAACAAGAATGATTTATGCCTCCTTCAAGAGGAATGTAGGATACCACGGTAGTGCTGGCACCTTGCAATGCTTGTTTCTGCAGTGTCTGTTTCTACAGTGCTGTAAATGTCAGTGCAAAACCTTTTGGGAGGAGATAGGTTTTGAAACATCTCATTCACTGGCACTTCTATATATACACAATCACCAAAATGCCTGACTCAGCCCAGCAGTCAGGTAACAAGATGCTTGTGTCCAAGTGGTCAGTCAGGGATGTTCTGTGAAGATGCAGAGGAAAAGGGATGCTAGCTGTTGTGTCCTCCTTGCATGACCTGCATACTTCATAGGTTGGTAGGCTTACTGCTAATTTGGGAAGTGCCACTTCGTACCCTTTGGGACCTAGTTGTGATCGAACAGTTTCCTTGTCCTGTCCCACCTCTGTGGGGCAGAATGTTTGTCTCCCAACCTGGATGCCCTGAGAAGGCAGGGCAGTTTGGCAGCTCTTTGTGTGTCTGAACATCTCACAGACCTCTTAGGGAAGCAGGTTTGGATGAGAAGGGGT